CAATTCCAAGGCAAGATACTATTCCTTTAACTTCCAATTACCGAGGGAACCAATTAATATTGATTTTATTCAACTTATCGAGTATTTTTCAAGAGACCGGGAAAAAATGTTCACTTTATCAAGAGATTCGTTAGACAAACCTTTACTCGGGTAAAACCCGGGCGAAGCCGGGTACATCCATACAAGAATAATGATACAATTCCAAGGCAAGATACTATTCCTTTAACTTCCAATTACCGAGGGAACCAATTAATATTGATTTTATTCAACTTATCGAGTATTTTTCAAGAGACCAGGGAAAAAATGTTCACTTTATCGAGAGATTCGTTACTTCAAGTAAGAAGTTTCAGAAGATGAGTTTCTTTTAATTGTAAAACATTACAAGCTTTCGGGCAATAAAAACAAAAATTAAAGGTAAATTAAGGCAACTAAGCAACTGAGAATTAAACAATGTAAATATATATCAGCTAACCATAGAAAAACAAAAATAAGATATATATACACACTCGCGTGAGACTACTCGCGCGTCTGAATTTGAATGAATTAAAATTGTGTTAATATTTGAAAAAATTAGAGAGTTAGAAAAATTATTACAATGATATTACATAATTAAATATATCTAAGTAACTATTACAGGTAAATTTGTGTGGTTAATGACTATGCTATGGACTGCCATCTATGAATTGGTATTTAATGATTAGTGAGAGAAAAACTGTTTTTTGACCGGTGTGACTGAGGTGGTGGAAGGGGGGTTATTAATATACCAGAGGTAGAATCTGAAAAATTCAATTGGAAATGTAGGTTGTGTAGATTGCGCGAATGTCTATTTTTCTATTTATGCTGTGTAGCTTGGAGGAAACAATGGATTCCAGAACCAATCTTTGGTGTAGGTTGGAGATATTTCTGTAGTGAATGGTTGGGTTGGCAGTGTCAAAGGAATGGCCAGAAGATGCAATGTGTTGAAAAATGAGGGAACGGGGATCTCGGTTGGTGATGTTGCGTGGTAAAACCCGGGCGAAGCCGGGTACATCCATACAAGAATAATGATACAATTCCAAGGCAAAATACTATTCCTTTAACTTCCAATTACCGAGGGAACCAATTAATATTGATTTTATTCAACTTATCAAGTATTTTTCAAAAGACCGGGAAAAAATGTTCACTTTATCAAGAGATTCGTTAGACAAACCTTTACTCGGGTAAAAATCTAGGCGAAGCCGGATACATAACGATTGACCACAGTATTTTTAAGGTGCTATTTTAATAATTAATATGTTTCTTTTAGTTAGTTCTTAGGAATATATATTATCATAAAATAATTTTCTTGATTCTTATCATTCATAAAAATATAGGATTAACATAACAAATTGTACGAGGGGCATCCAATAAATAAGTTTCCCTATTTTTTTTTCGGCGAACGAAACGTTGTAAAAATTAGATAGTAGGTAAGAAATGGTCACTAGGATGCGTTGGAAGCTGGTGACCTTTCAAAATCACTCTACTCGTACGCGCAAGTCCGTAGCGCTTCAGTTTCCATGGAGCTACCACTGGTGAACGTGTCCAGTTGCGAACTCCGTTCTGTATTTCGTTTTTTCACAGCGAAAAATGAAACTGTGGTCAATATTCATCGCAATTTAGTGTCAGTGTATGGTGAAGGATGTATGAGCATCCAAATGGTTCGCCGATGGCGTTCATGGTTCTTGGAAGGACGGCAAAACGTGCATGATGACGAGCGAAGCGACAGGCCCGTTACTGCTACGGACAATGCAGCCGTGGCTGCTGTTCGGAATGTGGTGGAAGCAAATCGCCGCGTCACCATTGACGAAATAATGATTCGACTGCCTCCTGGAATCGAAATTGGATGCTCTTCGATTGGAACAATCATGTCAGATGTTTTGAATTTGAATTGAAAACAGGCGGAGGCGAACCACTGGCTACGAAGACAGGACACGGCTTGGTACAACAGTGGTATCAAAAAATCGCTACAACGGTACCAAAAATGTTTGGACAGAAATGGTGATTATGTAGAGAAGTAGTCTATGAGTTGTATAATGAAAATAAAATAACTGCATAATTGTAAATAAAGTTGTTTATTTGTTACAAAATAGGGAAACTTATTTATTGGATGCCCCTCGTATATTAATTATTAGATATTTTTATTGTATACTAGACGGGTGACCCGGGCTTCGCCCCGGGATTGACCCCCCGTGTGCATATCTACTCGAGTGATATATATTTAGATAAGATTTTTTTATAATTCTTTGTTATTAGCATTATCTATTTGTTTGCATCAGCATAATTTAATCTAATCTTTGATAGAGGGCGCTGTTCGTGAGCTAAGTAGAATAATTTGAATATATAGTTTTAATAATTGATTTATATATTTTAAAAAATAGCTTATCGTCTTCCCCGTATTTTTTTTACCTATGTATGGAAATTTTGGTTTGAATTAGTGAACTACTGCGAATTTGTATACCGGACATACAAACAAACAAACAAACAAACATTGCTTTTTATATATATAGATATAAGATACTAGACGGGTGACCTGGGCTTCGCCCCGGGATTGACCCGTGTGCATATCTACCCGAGTGATATATATTTAGATAAGATTTTTTTATAATTGTTTGTTATTAGCATTATCTATTTGTTTGCATCAGCATAATTTAATCTAATATTTGATAGAGGGCGCTGTTCGTGAGCTAAGTGGAATAATTTGAATATATAGTTTTAATAATTGATTTATATATTTTTTAAATAGCCTATCGTCTTCCCCATATTTTTTTACCTGTGTATGGACATTTTGGTTTGAATTAGTGAACTACTGCCAATTTGTATACTGGACATACAAACAAACAAACATACAAACATTGATTTATATATATATAGATATAGATATCTCTCTATATATAAAAATGAATGTTTGTATTTCTGTCTGTATGTCCGGTATACAAATTCGCAGTAGTTCACTAATTCAAACCAAAATTTCCATACATAGGTAAAAAAATACGGGGAAGACGATAGGCTATTTTTAAAAAATATATAAATCAATTATTAAAACTATATATTTTTATTCAGAAAATGATGATGACGATATTGCTGTATCATGTTTGATTATCAGATACAAAATTATATCGGGAAAAATTCCAAAAAGCAGAGACCACGGGTGAAACCAGTTCATTATTTTGTACGCAGGAACAAAATTCTAACAGAAAAACATTCATTCGAGCAGAAAACAGAAGCTAGATCATCTTTCTATAAAAATATCGCTTCTCAGACACAAAGTTTGGAGCGGGACGTTTCACAAGAGTGACATCCACGGCGCCAATTTATAATTGTAACGAATAGTATTTGAATAAAAACATTTAATCGGGTAAAACCCGGGCGTTGCCCGGGTCATTCGGCTAGTATATATATAAAAATGAATGTTTGTATGTTTGTTTGTTTGTATGTATGTCCGGCATACAAATTCGCAGTAGTTCACTAATTCAAACCAAAATTTCCATACATAGGTAAAAAAATACGGGGAAGACGATAGGCTATTTTTAAAAATATATAAATCAATTATTAAAACTATATATTCAAATTATTCTACTTAGCTCACGAACAGCGCCCTCTATCAAAGATTAGATTAAATTATGCTGATGCAAACAAATAGATAATGCTAATAACAAACAATTATTTAAAAAATCTTATCTGAATATATATCATTCGGGTAGATATGCACACGGGTCAATCCCGGGGCGAAGCCCGGGTCACCCGTCTAGTAATATAAAAATATATATATTCGAGTATACAGTTAAACCTGTCTATAGCGCCCCCCCTCTAAATAACGCATTCCTCTCTATAGCGCCCGATTTTAAAAACGTAGTACGATGCGATTTACATTAAAAGTGACCTGTCTATAGCACCCCCTTTTTATAGCACCCTATTTTGGGGATTCCCAAAAGGGGGCGCTATAGACAGGTTTAACTGTACATGTATATTTTACTCAAGAGTTAAAATAAACTCTTTAATAACAAATATTTTTAATTTTTTACCAAACGACTGCATTTAGTAAGATAAAAAACCTCCTTAAAATTTTTTTTTACCAATATCATAAGATTTATATTTATATTTATATGCAACTAAATAAGAGTTCTTAAAAAATGTCATGGTAAATCTTATAATGCCCAGGAATTATCTTGCGCTTGTATATGTGCTTTTACTTATTATTCATGATTATATGGCTTTATACATCTAAAACAAATTCTTGGGCTATTAAATGACCAGAACTTGCTTTTTTGATTCTATTTGTGAAGAAATTGCGGGTAATCGTTTCACAAAATACTGATGCGAAATTCGGTAGAAGAATTCGCAGTGATGATTCTTTTTGTGGGCTGTTGCAAGGATTTAAATCAGATCACTGAATAGCAGAAAGGAGAGGGTAAAAGTCTCCTTCAAACTAACTTTATTCAAAACATCTTAAGAGGACTGAGGAAAACACCAAACTGGTCGGTAGCAGACCAGGCCGTGTTCTGGTCCTTTGTTGGCGGCTGGCGTCGCCGGGGCTTGTTTGTTTACTGTCACCCAAGCCGTCCGGACGGAGTCTGGAATAAAGGATCTCCATTATTCCACGCTATGAATTAAGTTTTTAAAGTATATTTTCTGATTTATTTTTTCCTTTTTTTTAAATCTGAATTGTCGATTACACATTTTCTAAAATCAATTTTACTTTCAAAGATCAATTCATAAGTGCAATTAATCAAATATCTATGAGTTTTCAAATAATTTTTTTTTAATGAAGAATTATTTTATCAATATAAATAAACATCTTTCAGGGGGATATTTGTTATCATTATAGGTAGCTTAAAACTTCGTATGAAGATTATCCCGCATGTGTTTCTTTTGAACGAAAAATCGAAATTTACCTAAAGGAGAAAAAACGATTATTTCCAACCCCAGGGATGAAGTATGAAAAGAGGAACTGTGAAGAGTAATGATAAACGGAAAAATAAAAGTGTCTGGGGGGAAATCGAACCCATAGTGTTCGCTTACCAGGCAGATGCCATGTCCACTAGGCTACCCTGGACATATTTTTCCGTTCGTAAATATTATATAAAGTAATTTATATCATTACTCTTCACAGTTCATCCATTTATACTTCATCACTGGGGTTGGAAATAAGCGTTGTTTCTCCATTAGGTAAATTTCGATTTTTCGTTCAAAAGAAACACATGCGGAATAATCTTCAAATGCCGTTCTACAATCATAAGCCGCATTATATGGCATTATAAAACTTCATATTATCATATATTAGGCATTAACTTATATTTTTATTTGATCAGGCATTCCCAGGTTTTGAAAGAATCGCAGCTTTCTTTTTCAAAGCCATAATATTTGAAAAGTTTCGCCATAAGATCTATAGGAATCACGGTAAAATATATATAATTTTTCAGTTTTTTAAAATGTTGCCATAGCCTCTTCTCTTTGTTAAAGCTTATCCCATTATGGGAAATTAAGGATTTCAATGTTTAGTGCTATATCCCAGAGAGGTAAGTGCTATGTGAACTCTATAAAACTTGAGAAATATTTTGTAATTACTTACTTATAACTCAATTTAATCCCTACATTATATAAAATATACTTTAATTTATTCAAATTCAAAAGTAATATAATAAAAAATAACTACTATTAGAAGATATATGTACAAAATTCTGTGATGAATCCTTAATTATATAATACATGAATTCAATTTTTTAGGATTTAATTTAGGAAAAAATAGAGTAATATCAAAGCAAAAATTATCTTTTGATACATACAATAAACAAAACGCAACTTATTCTTGTTAATTTGAAATATCGATTGTATATCAGTGGGAGATTAAAAATAAAATTTATAATTTGAATTTGGAACCTTGATATCTAATTTTTGAAATGTAAAAATTGGATATATAGGTGATTGAGTAAAAATCTATTGAAATTTTGATACCTAAAAGCAAAAACGCCATTGAAAATCATGTTCAATTTAATTTATCAATAATTCTCACTCATAGAGATAATCTTTTGGAGGAAATGATCAATTAAAAAGACTTCAGAATCTATTTTGATATTCTATATGCATAAAATCATTGATGAGTTTGGAGCTTTTGAAAAATTTATGATAATAATAATAACAATTAAAATATTTTTTCAGATTTTTTTTTTCAAATAAAAAAATTATATTATGGAAAAAATTCTTCACACCATTATATATATATTTTTTGGGCCATTATAACAATAGAACCATTGCCTTAGCTAGCTGCTATGGGAAATCCAATACCACTATATTTTAAAATTAAAACATCTTATAAAATTATTCTGGAAAAATGTTTTTAAAAATAGCTGCTTGTGTTTAAATATTTTTGAAAAATCTGCATTAATATCAATTTCATATTCTTAAAATTGAATCTAAAACACAACGCGAAAAAAAAGTCAATTATAATGCGTCATCTATTGGAATAAATATCAACTATTATCGTTGATTTCTAATTATTCCAGAATTGGCTAATTACCCATTCTTGATTAATCAAGAAAAGTTAACCATGTACGCGTTACGGGCTGTTGGCCCTCATCAGCGTGGTGCAAGCTGTACCTCAACGACCAAAAAAAAAAAAAAAAAAACTGGTCCTTTCCTTTTTGGTCGTTGAGGTACAGCTTGCACCACGCTGATGAGGGCCAACAGCCCGTAACGCGTACATGGTTAACTTTTCTTGATTAATCAAGAATGGGTAATTAACCAATTCTGGAATTATTAGAAATCAACGATAATAGTTGATATTTAATCTGATAGATGACGTAAGCCATGATCAACTTTCAGTTGCACGATAAGGAGATGCCTTTTTCATAATTTATGCACCTTATCCCAGTACAATACCATATTTGTACTATTTTTCAAGATAACACTTATTACACAGATGAGCCAAAAATTTACAAGCAATAATAAATATCCACAGGTACATGAAATAGCAGGTAGCTTAGGGGTGTTTAGGGAACCTATGGACATAAGCTTATAGGTTTGTAGAGGTACACAGTAAATGTACAGGGCCTATAACAAAACCAATCCAATACAACAGTAGAGCGGTCTGGAGATTAATTTGGTAAAACCGTTGAGATGATTCACCACTGATGAGCCAAGCCCTCTCATTAAATACATTTTATCATTGCACACAGTAAAAAAAAATCTGTAGAGATAATATTTGACATGTGAAAAAAAATGATAGAAAAAAAATAAAAAGGTCAGGTGTTGATATTAAAAATAAAAATGGCATATCCTGACCAAGAGCACATGTGCTTTTCAGATGGCAGAGCGCTATCTAGTTGAACAGAAATCAACTAAACATTGATTAATCCCGTTCCCTGAACTCTGAAAGATACACTCATGGACAAAACTTAAGGAAGTTGTACCCTTTACCATGTATATCGGGATTCAGACAATAACTCTGAAATATACACTCATCTAAAAAACTTAAGGAAGTTATACCTTACTTGTACGTTTTAACATGTATATCTTGTTTCAGACAACAACTCTGAAAGATATTACAGTGACCTTCATTGAAGACAAACGAGATAACCAAGTGTGAACAAAATTGCCTATGTCTCTTCAGTTTTGTCAATGAGTGCACATACATAAACCTTTATTAAGACCTTTAGTCTTATGAAAAAAATCATCAATAGAAAAAAATAATAAAAACTTTTTATTTTTATTTGAAACGGGACTTAAATAAAATATTTGCATTTTTTAAATCATAGTAAGGGAAATACAAAAAAAAAAAAGCAGAAGAAAAAAAAAGGCAATAAAAAGAAATATCAAATTCATTTTAGGTCTTGTATTCTTTTGGTTACTTTTCTGTCAAAAAGTGAATAATTTATTTACGCCATTTTTCTATGAGATTATTATTATTTAACATCAACAAGGCGTGCGATATTGAAGTACTTGCACCTAATACAGAGGAAACAAAGCAACAAACAAATTAGAACTTAGAAGTAAATATTTACATATCTACACGTATTATTCTACAGATATCATAAAATTTATATAGACAAAGTGGCTGATGTAAGAGAGTTAGATCAGGGAACAATCGATGTCTCACTTCTGTAAAGTTCGGACAGTCATAGATAAGGTGAAGAGCAGTTTGTTCAGTTTCTCCGCAGGAATAATTTGATGTTTCTGTTAGACCTCTTTTATGTAAGTAGTGCTGGACCGTGTGATGTGTCAAATTGAGCGACAGTTTTCTGGGGTTTGCTATTATCATGTCAATATTGTCAGATGTCAGACAACATTTGATGGATTTTTACCTTTTTTTCTCTTCTATAAGACATTAGCAATCAAAGAGATAATAGGACTACTCATTTAGGGCGTTTTTGACCATATATATATCCATTGAGGTTTAAAATTAAAAAAAAAGCATATCCTGACCATGATAACATGAGTTTTTTATATGACAGAGCGTCATCTAGTGGAACAGAAATCAACTAAATGTTGATTTAGCCTGTTCTCTGATATTTGACCAACCGATTGAGGTTTATTACGATGCACTAGCGTGCCATCTGTTATGAAAATTAGAAACTATTATAAACGCGTAAGATTCTTTTTGAAATTAAACAATTTCTACTGCCCTTACTGCAATGGAAAAATTTATGGGAGGGCTTGGCTCATCAGTGGTGAACCCTCCCAGCGGTAAAAATGGTAGATTAAACTGACGAAACCGCTGGGAGTTTTCACCACTGATGAGCCAGGCCCTCCCATTAATTTTTCCATTGCAGTAAGGGCAGTAGAAATGGTTTAATTTCAAAAAGAATCTTAAGCGTCTAAAATAGTTTCTAATTTTCACTATTGAGGTTTATGTTGAAAAAAATTAATGTAGATTTGGGGTTGAGAATCTAACCAATTTGCATATATGGGTGCAGGTAGCTTCGTCTTACCACCATGCTACCCACGACGACAGTAGAAGCGGTTGATTGGAGTCCAGAAGATGTTGTTGAATTCGTTGACATCGCGGATCCTTTCACGTCCAGTTCCAGCAGTGACTCCTTCATTACCGCACCTGATCATAACATCAAAAGTTTCTCATTCTGTCTTGATGAGATTGAACAAGAATTATTTAAAAATCAGAATTTTACATTGGACGATCTTCGGGATGAAATCTTAAAGAAAACTGGAGGAACATCAACAGCTTCTTTTAATAGCTTTACAATTGATCTTGGATCACGTGATATTGCAGCTTCTGTTCTGAATGCCTTCACCAGTAGTTCAAGTTATGATAGTATCCAATCATCATCCTCACAGATCATGTTTCCTCCACATTCCCTCCATAACACCAAATCTTTATCCTCTATACAAACCAACATTAAAAGTATCGCATTGAAAAAAACAATTTCATGTATTGAAAATGACTTATATATTTTACCATCATCCTCAACAAATAAAGATTCATCAATAATTCCAGAAGAACAATCAGCTGGTGATTCTTTACAATATTTTGGATTTTTTATTTCAGGTTTAAAACATCTTGGTAGAAAAGGTTATGAAATATTTAAAAGTACTTCTTTAATTTCACCAAAAGGGAATTGGTCAGGAAATTCAAGTATTGGTACATCAAAGAATACAGAAAAAGATGAAGAAAAGAGTTCGAAATATTCAAAAGAAGAAGATAACGAAATTCCTAAATATTTATCAGAATTCATAATACCCAGATTTTCATTAGAAAGCATCATTCCACCATCAGTCGAAGCAAACACCACATTTACTGTATCAACTAAAGAAATATCTCCAGAAAGACCATCAATAAAGAAAGAAACAACAATAAAAATATCAGAAGAAAATCAAGTATCAAAAGAAATCGTAGTAAAATCCCAATATTCAAATGTGAAACCAAACTCAAATTCAGGTTTTTATAGTTTACTTGAAGTTGATAACGGATTTAAGACGATTCCAAAAAGTAAAACTTCCAGAAAGAAAAACTCAAGAAAGAAAAGAGGACATAGAAGAAAATCTCTTCCTTTTTTGACCGCGGTGTCGAATGAGATGTGTCGGTACTTTTCTCCGAGAGCAT